TTTGTTTACAGTTCATCACGTAATGGACAACCCACAATGGTGCCGCGTGATGAGAAATATCTGGAAACGCTCGGTTCACCATTTGTTTCCTTTTATGATCTGCTGATGATAAACACCCATTACAATTGTCTTGGTTGGTTTGAATTACTGTTTCTTCCGTTGAGCGTCACCTCCACAACTTTCAGATAAGTGTAAGTTTAAGCCATCAGCTGCAAAATGTGAGAACGGCGGATTTCCAAATCCTAGAAAGTGCAAGAGATGCATTTGTCCGAGCGGTTACGGTGGGAGACTATGCAACAAACGAGTAATTCTTTATCATCGCGCACACATTTTTTATTCGATGAAAAATCTAATCTGCAGCCACGTGGATGTGGAAAAACTTTGTATGCCGACTATTCGTATAACATCTTTGAAGATGCCGTCGGTACAGGCCCAGACACCGGAGAGAGCGAAGACTTCCGTGTTTGCCATTACTGGATACAGGTTTTGAAAATGTTACTGTAGGAGAAATCTAATTGAACTGATTCAAGGCACCAGAAGGAAAAAGGATCGAAGTGACACTCATGAGCTTTTCGGAGGGTTACAGAAGCCCTGGATGCAGATATGCAGGAGTGGAAATCAAGACAAATAGGGACCAACGTATGACGGGCTATAGGTACAGTCTGGGCGCTCAAAATCGCATAATAATAGCTTTTCCAAATTGAGATTCTGCTCCCACGAAGACGCAGGAACGGTTTTGGTGTCGGAGTCCAATATCGTTCCAGTTATAACCTATAACAGAGCTGACCAATCAAAGACTGTTCTCCGCTATCGCATGGGTACCACATTTGTGGCAGTTTCTATGACATGACAATTTCTGATCACATTGTTTCAGGCTAATCATGGATGGCCGGAGTCGGCAATTTTGGAATCTTAATTGGTTAGCTAGTCTGCGAATGCAATATTAATTACGAAGCAGGGTAGTTCATAATAAAGATTTCAACTTTATATACACCGGTCGCACAGACAAACAGACATTTAGCACTACCCTGCTAGGTGATCACACACACCAACTCCGTCACATAAGACGTACACTCAGTGTAATTAGAAAATCTAATGTAATC